TTGACATCATTCATCAACATCATTCATCAACATAATTCATCAACATAATTTATCGCATAATTCATTAACATAATTTCATCAATGTAATTCATCAACATAATTTTACAGCAACTCAACCACAACAACAATACCATGATAGATTGACAATCCCTCAATGTTGGCCATATGCCTACAACATGATAATGCCTATAATTAATTAATCATCTAAGGCTTACCTCTAGCTAACAAACCTCTACATATTATTATTCTATAATACTACATCATTATCATCATTAATCTTACTGCTATGAACTAATCAATAATCTATAATCATCTTATCCTCATCATACTTCACAAAATTATCATAGTGATTAACGTGGGAAGTTAATTCTAATCCTAATTTGGGTTACTAGGATTATTCATCTTATTCTTCATTTTAATCCTTAAGAATAAAATTCACCGCGTCATATATTCAATGTTTCAAACGACATCTCAAACGGAGTCCGAAAACTCAAGTTATAGCCTTTGGAATCAGATCTGCCAAAAATCAGACTACATGAGTCGATGCATAATGTTTTGAGTCGATGCGTACTGGGTTAAAATCCTGCATGAATCGACGCGTAATCCCCTTGTATCGACTCATACTGAGTCAGCAACACTACATGTTTCGATGCGTAGTCCTATGTATCGACTTATTCCGAGTCCAAAAGCCTGCATGTGTCAACGCATGGCCTTTGAGGTCGACTCATATTGTTCTATCATGAATATTTTTATGTGATTTCACTGCGTTTTCACTGTGATTTCCCTGCCTTAGTCCCTAAAACACCCTCTAATCCTAGGTAATCATCAATTATAATAATCCTATGTTTCTACATTAATTATACAACATTAGGGCATCATTATTCATCTCTAAATCATTGATCTTCATCATATAACAATATATATACATTTTAATCATGAACAAGACGACTTTTCACATCTAATCCCACATACTACTCATCATAAACACTATTATAAAGTCATAACCCCACCCTTACATTGGATTGAAGGTTGCTCTACGACTTTTCCGATTGATTTCTGTTCTGCCTCTTTTCCTTCTTTTCTGCAACTTTCACGTTCTCTTCCAACCCTTATTTCTTTCTCTTCTTACTGCTTCTTCTTTTCCTTATTACTCTAAATAACTAATATAATAACCCTATAATTCTCATTATGTCTTAATGGGCTTAAACTCCTACACCTCCCTTTCTACTACTTCTAGCCCTTAAAATAAACCCACATCAAATAATATTATTATTCTAATATTATTCCACAACTTAATAGAATAATTAATTCCAATAACAACAACACATCAACTATTATAATAACAGAACTTCATAAATAATCCAAAAATAATTTAATTAAATAATTAATTAAATTACAGGTGTTACAATATGGAAAACCTACACAGGGAATAACTTGCTCGACCTTGGAACACTGAAAAACTAAGGCAATATTACAGTTGAAACACTGAGCATTTGACAAGCTTCATCAACAAGACGAACTCATCCAAACTCGACCACACGTGTGTGCCTAGGTATAAGCATGACAATCAAATTGTTTGCAGCAGTAAGGCTCTACTCTTTTAACGAGCAGATCCTTAGCCCGACATAGATAACTCGACCGAGCTCCATCGTCATCATACCATGCCAGTAGAACACCCAGACCGCGATGGGAAGTTCATGCCGCCAAGCTCGGGTCCTCGAAAAGAAACCTGAGTTTTGGCCCATGCCCGGTATTCACCCTGACCGTTTGTCCGGTCTCCCCATACCAGCAAACTCACTAACTAACGAGCAAAACCCCGCAAAAACTCTTAACTAATAAAAAATGTCTCAAGAAAACAAACATACAATAAACACGCCAACTCTTCAGATTTCAAAACCAAACCATTCCGCTCCCTGTGGGTCAATGCGCGTACGACACGATAACTGCTCAGAAAGAATGCTCAGTTGTTCCCCTCCCCACAACAAGGTCAACCCAGAAGCACCCCAGTTTCGCGGGCTAGTTCTAAGTCATCACTCCTACGCCAAGGAGAAACAACTTGGGGGGCTCTTGTTCTAGACTGGCCCAACGACTAGAATTGGCCAAATCTGCTACTGCCTTTGGCACAATCCGATGATAGTGGCCCAACACTCTGGTCAACCATGGCGCCTGTCATCCGACCAGTTATGCCCGACATACACACCTAACTAGATCAATAAATGTCTCCTGTCAGCCCGACACGAGTCAATAGACACCCAGAAAACGACCAAAACAACCATCTGCCCATAATCAACCTCCTCGGAACAAACGATTACTTACGAGCATACTTGCCTGTTTTGACCCAGTACTGCAGTTACCTCTTTTTACGGACCCGTATATCTAAGCCCAAAAATAGGAACCAATGGCTACGCGTCGGGGGAACATTATATAAACCCTCACACGTGTGAGGCCAAGTATTCACTATCTCACACCTTAAACCCTAATATTCTGCCTGTATCTCTTTACTCCTACACTTACTTGATCGTCAGAGTGCCTTGCAGGTACAACCTCCTTTTCTCCTCAACCTTCCAGCCAGTCAAAGATCATTCTTCGACCCACTTACAAGTTCTGATCAACCAGTAAGATCAATATTCTTAATTTTCTGTTTCCATGTGTTCGATCTTTGCACTTCTTTGGGCCCTTTGGGTAACCCATAATAGTTTTTCTTATTTTTCAGTTGGATCCCGATGAGCACAACTATGGTAGTGGGCTTCCACTTTTGCATTGTGAACTGGGAGGTGAATGAGTCACACAACTCCTTCCATAAACTTATGCTTCATTCTCTGAGGGCCTTGACCCACATCACGCCTCCTCCATTAAGGGTTAATATGAATAACATGAATTTTACAACTCTCCAAACTTGATAATAGTCTAGCCTAGTATGTATATGCTCAATATGTTTGTATGGATCCTCTGTTTTGTTATAAATATATAACTGTAGGGTCTTTTTAAGGGATATGAGGATCTTGCTATTGAGGATATATCTTGAAAGTGGGTTGCTATACTAGCTTTTGCTGAAGCTCTATGTCGTTCTTCCCTTTAGGAGTGGTGTGATGACGATCCGTGATGACGACGATCATCTGACGGTGTGTGGCTCCCGCCTCTTCCGCTCTTTTGGTGTCATAAATATAGATTGTGACCTTGATATCTAGGAAGCGCTCAATTTGGTAAAACAATGTCCACAAGGATATGTTCTAAATCAACTCTCTGTCTGCCTCATGAAATAACATTACATACAAAACTATCCATAGGGGAAGCAAACTACAAGTTTTCTCTAATCTGAAGTATCCTCTCAACGAGGAAATGAGAATTCTACTATTGCACTAGGTTATAAACATTTTTCAACAAATCATTTTCTCGTTGTGTGTCTAAGCTAGCTTACAATTATTGAAAAGTATGGAGCATTTCATGTCCATAAATTATAAGTTACGATGAAGGTTGCTTTGATGTTTGACCTTAAAGAGGTGTATAAAAGGTTGAAAGGTTGGAAGATCTTGAAAGGTCCATTGTCGAACTGTTGAAGATGCTAAATTTTGTAGCGTTGGAACTGTAAGAGGAGTATCTGAGCCCAAAACATCTTCAATCGACTGAGGAAGTGGAACCTCTCTAACTATATCAGATTGAGGAAGTGGAACCTCCATAACTAGATCAGAAGTGTTATCTGTATCAATAGTCACAACAATGGTGTTGCGTGCGGTGGCTGAGCAAAAGGCTTTTTTGGTGCCATGATAGTAGGAAATAGATCCACGATCTTTATGAGGAATTGATAATGCTTTGAAAAAGGAACTATTAGTGACCTGAAAGAGAAAATATCACAATCTGAAATCTTGGTGAAACAGTGGTGGTTCTTTGTGGAGATTCGCGAGAATCAGAAGTGGATTCTCATAGACGATATTACTATTTCAAATTGGAACTAGAAATTGATAGAGATCAAATGAAACAGAGCTCCAGTGCGATGGAGTGAGCTTTCGATACAATATTGAGTGAGTGAGAAAGTAGTATGCGTGTGTGATTGAAAAATACCTAAAATGACGCGTGATAGACATTATACAATGCGAAAGGTTAAAAGCATCCCCGTAAGATAAAACTCGTCATACTGATTGTTGTCTAATTAATCTACCGATGGAAAATACGCTAGAGACAAGAATCACGTGCCATTGCCAAGGATAAAGTTCCAATTCTGCATGCCTTTCCATAGAAAACTTATTGTTGGACCTTCCTTCGTGAAACCGACGAACTATCCAAAACAAGACACAACCATACACATATGACAATTTAATAAGAATTTAATTAATATATCTTAATGGTGTAAATATACTTTACACAATTATTAATTTATTTAAAATATTTAATTTTAATTATTTTAAATAATACATTTAAATGATTAGAATGTATGTAAATTTTTTGACTCATGTATCATAAATGATAATACTTATTTTTAAATAATACATTTAAATCATTACGGAGGGATTAACAATTAAACTAGTTTAATAACAACTATAAAAATAAACACTAATGCAATTTTTTTCCTTTCATTTTACATCCACAATATGTATACTAGTTTTGTTATAACATGTAAAAGATGAAAAAAAACTTAAAAATTAGGCCAAGTAAGTTAAAGGAAAGAGAAAAAATAAAACTAAAAACAATGAGAAATACAAGAATATAAGATAAGATAGAGAGAATCCATTTTTATTAATTATTTTACCAATAAAAATAAAAAGTAAACAGTAAAATAAAAAATTCCAAATAAAAAGCCAAAAAATCAATAAAAGAAGTCAAGAATCAAGATCCCGCCTCTATCCCTAGTTTTGTTTTGTTTTGAAACCCTCACCCAAAAAACCTCACTACCCCGCTCTCACCACTTTCCCGCCTCTCTCTTCCTCCTTAAATAAAACCCCCATTCCTCATTCCCATCTCTCTCTCTCTCTCTAGAATTTCCACTCTCTCTCCTCTCCACCACCATGAAGCAACGAACCAGACCCACCTTACCTAACCACTTCCACAAATTCCTCAAACCAGGCGCACTCGCTCGAATCCGCGACTCCAAAATCACGGCCAGATCTCACCGTCTCAACTCCCTCTCTCAGATCTCAACCTACCGTCCTCCGTCCTCACCGCCGCCGATTTCCATCGATCAGTCTCAACCTAATTCCTCCGATGGTTTTCCGTTCTTTGCCACCGGGATCTACGGTCCTCGGTGTCCTCAACGGAAGAAACTCGTCGCTGCTAAGTCCGTTTTCTTTGTTCCTGGTAGTCCGGCTGCTGACTCCGTGGATCTTGTTGCGGAGTCGTTTGGCAGTGGCGATATTATCGCTGCTAATTGATTGCGTTTTCGTTACATATGGAGAGTTTAGATTTTTAGATTTGTAGATTTAGCATGGTTTTTGATTTTTTTTTTTTGGTTCATCATGTGAAAAAAATACTCTCATAGAATATGAATTAATAAAAGTGCATTCAATTTTCTATTTTCTATTTTGTTTTGGTGTTTAGATTGTGGCTGCGTTAATTTCGCAGTAGAAATTTGTTAGATTTGAATGCTTGCTGGATTCTCTGATATACTGCTTCTTATTTATTAATGCAAAAATTTGTCGCTGTTTAATTCTTTATTAATGCTGGCTGGTTTTTAATCGTGTTTGATTATTTGATTAGGTATCTATTTACTTTTAATTGATGTTTTAAAATTGAATCAAACATTGAAGCGGCAAAACCTAGTTGCAATTGTTCATTTGCTTTGAACTTTTCGTTCTGTGACAAAACTGTGGTTGAACAATTCAAATAGCTGAAGTGTGTATGTGATGCATTGTTCAAAATTCAATTAGTTGAATTGTTTGGTTTTGGATTAGGGTTTAAAGCATTGCTTTATTCCTTTATGTGTTTGATCAATATTAATTAGGGATTTATTATTGTGATGTTGTTAATGTTAACCTAATGACTAATTGTGTCTAGGTTACATTATTTAACCCACTTATTCTGAATTTATTATGTTCTTGTTTCAATTGATTACTGTTCTATTGGTTTATTGATCCCAATTAGTGATTTGTTAACCTAATCATTCTGTTTGTAGTGTTGTCAACAAATTATATGATTTCACACATTTTCCACTGTTCTAGCATGCTTGTTTTTACAAATTATGTCATGTTTGGGTGTGAATTTATTATTATTAATAATAAGTAATGATTCTGTTTGTAATGTTGAAAACAAATTGTGTCTCCTAATTGATTACATGATTTCACACATTTCCCCTGTTCTAGAATATTTGTTTTTCCAAATTATATCCTTTGAGTATTTTTGTTAATAATAATTTTCTCAAGATGATGTTGTTTCTGTTATGAGTTCGTTCTGCAAAGTCTCAAGGCAGATGCACATCTTATTTATTGTGTCTCATTCATTTGAAGGCATGTGGAAAATATTTTTGCCAATCAAATAGGTAAAGAGGATTCAATTAGAATTGGATTGTTTGGTGTTTTCAAATATGATTAGTGCAGGAAAGAAGATTTAGTCAAATATGCATAATGCAATTGCTTATAGCACGACAAAGCACTCCAGGACATGGTTTATGCTATGAAATTAATTTTTGATTCAACATTACAGATTTGCTTTAACTGCCTGTGTATAATTGATAGTTAATAGGTTAGGGCATAGAACAGCTTATATCAAAGGAATATGCACACATCTGTCCTCTGATGCATCTTATGTGTTAAACTCTGTCTGCAGGAATGCACACATATCTGTCTTCTGATGCATCTTATGTGTTAAACTCCTAATGCATGAATGCACACATATCTGTCTTCTGATGCATCTTATGTGTTAAACTCCTAATGCATGAATGCACACATATCTGTCTTCTGATGCATCTTATTTGTTAAACTCTTAATGCAGGAATGAACATATATCCCTCCATACATTGATCACTTTTAAGAAAGCTTGAACACAATTTTGTTTAGAAGTCATTACTGCGATGAATCTTATTGACTACACATCATTTACACAATCTAATCTAATTGTGATTCTAGAATAAATACAGAATCATTAGGTTTCTTCTGATTGATAGGTTTTGTATCTGACACATACTTTTCAGAAAGCTAGAACACAGTTTGGTTTAGAAAGTCATTACTTTGATGAGTCTTATTGAGTGCATCACTATACTTTACACAATCTAATCTATTTCTGTTTCTAGAATGAATACTAGAGTCATTAGGTTTCTTCTGATCGATAGGGCTTTGCATCTCATACATACTTTTAAGAAAGCTAGAACACAATTTGGTTTAGAAGTCATTACTGTGATGAATCTTATTGAGTACATCACAGTACTTTACACAATCTATCTAAATTCGTTTCTAGGATGAGTCCAGAATCATTAGGTTTCTTCTGATTGATAGGGTTTTGCATCTCACATACTTTTAAGAGAGCTAGCAGAAGTCATTAGGTTTCTTATGATAGATTGGTTTTGCATTTGATTGTGTAATTGCATTATGATTGTCATACTCATGTGTTGTATTTTGTCATTTCTAATGTCAACTTAAGTTCTGGGTTTTGGCCCCTGTTGTCTTATTCTAACAAATGACAGAACAGCAAATTGATCATTGAAGTTGTTAACATAATTCAAAATACTCCATTATTTTTTCGAATTGGTATTAATAATTGAAAAAGTGATACAAACATATTAAAAGTATATACTAATTTTTGCCATTAGAGATTGTGATTTGCCACAAATTAAATACATGATTTTACAGCTGATTCCACATTAATGCCACCGCAAATTGCTTAGGAAATTTATGTCCCTAAAAAACCAATTTGTCAGTTATTACCCAATGCACAACTGCAATTATTGATAAAGATAAATTTAAGCAGTATGACATTTTTTTTAAAATGTTTTTTTTTGTAGTATTACATTTTGTTTAAAAAAAATTGCAAAAAATTTCTTTTAAAAAGTTTTGAAAATGAAAAAATGATTGAAATGATTTTTCATAAAATTTTGTCTTAAGTATTTCATCTTGACTTTTTTTTAATATTAAAATTTTAAAAAATCACTTAAATTTTGTACGGATCAAAAGTACAACGGTTCGTGTTTCCCTTACAATAGGGATGACAATGAATAAGGTTGAGTAGGGTACTCTACTGCCTGCCCCCGATATATGCGGTTTGAAAAAATCTCCGTACCCAAACCCATATTTGCATGGGCACTAACATTTGTAATCGTATTCTATAGATACTTAAGTATCCATACCCATAACTATTAACCCATATTTTTAGTAAAAACAATTATCGTTCAAGTACTAGTATCATTTGGTGTCTCCAATTTTAGGGGTGGATTGGGTATCCAGATGCCCTATTTGTTTTTCAAGTGGTCTTGATTACCTCTCTTTCGCCTTCTTTTTTTTGGAGGTGGCGCGCTTGGTGTTTTAAGTGGGTTTTTTCTTCGACTTAAGGGTTGTCTTGTGTTTTTATTTTTTTTAAGTTTTCGTGTTAGTTCTTTTTCTCTAATTTGTTTTTTGTTTGCTGTTGTTTGTGGTTTTACTGCACCTTAGGTGCGCTTGTTTGTATCTTGTATTCTTTTCTTTTTCTAATATTTTTTTCTTCTGTTTGACCATTCAAATTAAATCATTTTAAGTTTTTAACAACATTTAAAAAATTTAAAGGACATTGTTCTTGAGTTAATAAATAAATAAAAACTTATATTGAAGTACATACAAATTTGATAGTGATATATTTAATAAAACTGACAAAAATACATGTGTCTATATTAATAAAAAAAATAAAAAAATATTATGTGCGAGTTGGGACGGGGTGGGTACTAAGGTACCCGTACTCGCTTATTTTAGTGGATAATTTCCCGTGTCCGTATCCATTTTGTGGATATTTATCCTATTCAATGTGGATAATTTTTACGGGTACCCATTGGGGATGGGTTCAATTTCCATCCCTATCCCGCAAGGATAAGAAAACTTAGTAGGTTTATAATATAATATGATGGTTAGAGTTTGTCCACAGTGGCGAGAAGTCATGGACGATGGTGTTTGAAGGTGATTTAAGAGAGCTGCTCACGTGAGGTGAGAGACTCTACTGATAATTGATGATTCTTGGTAGCAATCGTATGATTATTGGTGGTCGTATATTAAGGCTATATTGAATATTGTACTCTTTGGGGTGTAGAGAATATGTATCATTGGGGTTTGTATTTCTCCTTGAGAGGAGATATATTTATAGAGGTTGTTGTACCCCAAAATTTGCCCTCTCAATTCTTCAAGAAGTTCCTCACAAGATTTCTACTAGGTCAAAATTGCACAAGGTTTGATCAGCTCAAATTGTCATGGATCATATTGGATTTTCAAGCATCATGTCAAAGAGAAAACTACTGAAAGAGAAAAGCAGAGAAATTTGACTTTTCTGGCAAAATTGAGGAAAAATAAACTTGCTTCGATTCATGCTTAGCTTCGACTGAACTTTTTCCTCTATATTAGCTTCGACTGGGTTGGGTTTCCCCTTGAAACAGTTCCTTTCGATTCAAAAGGAAATGACCTTTTACTAGCTTCTTTCTATTCAGAACAAAATGACCTTCTGAAAGTTTCCTTCGATTCAGAAGGCAATGGCTTTCTGAAGGGCTCCTTCGATTCACTAAGTAGGGACTTCATGCATGTAAGCCTCGTTTGGGCATTTAGGTTCCTTACATACATCATTCGATTTCACCATTTGCCTTACATGTTTGCTTGATTCACAATGCAATGGTAACTTGTATGCAAGCTTCAATTGGGCATTTAGTCTCCTAAATACATCCTTCGACTGAGCGTCGGTCCTTGACATGTTTGTTTTGATTCACAAAGTAATGGCCATTTGTATGCAGCCTTCAATTGAGCAAGGGCCTCTTTCTTGTATGCTTCAATCCACAAAGCCAGAGGCTCCCACCATGCCAGCGTGCACAAGGAAAAGGCTTCCCTATGCATTCATGTTAGCACCCACAGGGCTTTGGCTATCTCCATGTTAGTTCTGACTGGGCAAAGTCTCCCCTTGTAACAAATTGCTTTCGATCCGCAAGGGGAATGCCTATCTTTATACAAGTATCATTGGGACAAGAAGAGACATCCTGCATGTAGGCTTCGATTACACTAGTGACTCCTTACAAGTTGGCCTTTGGTGCACATGGCAAGAGCCTCTTGTAGCCTCCTTCAATTCCAAGAGGGAAAAAGATTCCTGTTGATGCCCTTCGATTCAGAAGTTGGTGGCTTCCTACCGGCCTACTTCGATTTAAAAGACAAGTTCCTTCTTTACGCTTGCCTCCAATTCACAAGGTAAGGACCTTCTCCAAGCCAGCAGGCACAAGGCAATG